TTGAATCCTCATCGTGGGAAACGACAATTGGTGGCGTTTCCGTCGAATCGGTGCTATAATACAGCAACCCGTTAACCAACGAATATCGGTGTAATCGTGCGCGCAAACGGGCCGACAATTTCCTGTTTGAACTACCATACACTTTACACCCGAGAGCCTGTAGCAGTGCTACACACATACCATCACTCGCGTATACGGTGCGGATCGAATACGTTATTAACGACGCCACCGTCGTGGCATGAGCAAGCTGATAATACGGTCGGTCTGCGTGACAGCACATCAGCCAAAGCATTCTGTTTTCCTGGCGTAAACTTCACATCTAAGTTATATATGGCGAAGAAGAGGCCATCCTTTGCGAAAGGTGAGGCGACTGAGACGCAGTGCGTGATGACGCATGATCTGTGTAGACCACATACGGCAATGAGCCAGGCAGGTGCACTCCTGAACTTGACAAGTGCATCATTTCTAACGCGAGTAATTCCTTGTCGTGGACTGGGTAGTCCTCTCCGCAACCTGAAGCTGGCGGTATTTGAACGCAATCACCAGAACTCACCCCTCGGTGTCTGCTTGCAGCAGTGCACATCCAATGGAAAAGTCCTACGCGTCACAGACGATACAAAAGGGACGATCAGGGTCGGGCAACGCCAGTATTGGTGCATGAAGGAGGCTGTTTTTGACCCCGCCAAACGCCTCCCGATGCTCGGTATTCCAACACCATTCCGCATCACTCATAAGGAGATTCGACAATGGCTGTGCAATTCATGCACATTTTTGCTGTACTTGTGCAAGTTGTTGAAGCGACTTGCGCAGTTGCTTTTGGTTCTTTGGTACCGGCACGGCCTTGACCTTAGCGGGATCCGCTCGATGGCCATGCTTCCTGATGAAGCACCCTAAAAAGGGGATATCTTCGGCGCCAAAGATGCACATATCGGCTGCTTGTTCATGTGCATGCGCTCTCAAATGGACGATGTGGGTTTCCCCATCTGTCGTCCCGTCCCCCGCACGACTGCGGACGAAGTTGCAGTAGCCAGACTATGTCTACGCATACGCCCGGCGGGGCCCTGAACAGCTGCGTCACAAGACAATTAGATATTGCTGGTGCATTTACCAGCCCTTGGGGCATCACCAGCCACTCTTAGAGCACGCTGCTCAAAGTACTCACCGCTGTCAACGGAATATCACTCGCTCTCATAAGCAATTGGTAATCCCCATCAACCAAGTCGAATGCACTTACATCCAACCATGTTGTTGTTTTGGAGAGCATCGTTTCTAGAAATCAGCGTCTGTGCCGGAATCGCGCCCCCCTTCCTGCTCCACCGGAGCCTTGATGTTTTCAACAACATCCAACGAAGAGCTGCTAGCTCCGCAATCTTCGTCCAGTGGATGACGTGCCACTCCACGTACAATTGAACGGCCTCGACCAAGATGCATTGGACCTCGTCCGATCATGCCACGAGTGGCATGCAGCGACTGCTTCAAAACGTGAGCAGTGCTCAATGAATTCCGCGACACTCCACGTGCATCACTGGGGCCTCGCCCTCGATACCTCGGCCCTTAGCCAACCATGCCACTCGTGGCACTCAGCAACTCTGTGCCCACGGGCCATGCTCGAAACTCTTGTCCAATACACCTTCGGTGTTCGACTACTAGGATACTCCGATAATCTGCACATTGACCGTCCCAGTCCAGTGCCTGCACCAATAGCGCTTCTGCTCCCTAGCAGAGGTGGATTCATGTCTCGCCAAAGCTTCACCAGGTAACGTGCGCCTAGCGCTCAAGGTCTTCGACATCCAATCGATCCATGACTGATGGTGTTCCAACCATGCCATACCAAGGACAAGTCATTCTTTGTATCCAAAATCCACAGGGACTCTCGGCACAGTGACACAAATCCCCGTCGCTAAGCGAACAGTGAAGGTGTCACACAACCACGCTTCCTGCGTCTCAGCATACAACTGACCTCTTTCGATCGTGGATAATTGCCCGACGCCCCGGAATCAATCAGGATCTTCCATAGCTTCTCAATGCCCTGCACGATCGCTTTTACGACCAGTAAACCCGGCTTGCATACACGTTCCGTGTTCAAGAGCACAAAGCACTTCGGGGCTGGACCCTGCTGCCCTCTACCTTTCTGGGGCTCAACAAAACTCAGTTCCCCCCAGGAGGGCACGGGGCGCCTACGGGATGCTCTCGTTTCTCCGCGTCAAACCAGATTGAATAGAAGCCGGACTTCGGTTTGAGGAGCCTTTACGCGCCTTGCACAAGAAATAACCCGCCCAAAGCTGACGGGTGTCTCCAAAAACAAAATACCGTCGGGTGTGTACACGCTGCTCAGCAATTCGGAGCTCTCCCTCCTCCTTCTCAGCATAGCTGAGATCCATTGGCTCAGGCCCGTTTGACGAGCTCTAAAGGTGTGCATACCAAAAATGTCCTACCGACTCGAAGCTGAATTCGGCGTTCAACGTCACGTTCACCGCCTCTATAAAAGAAGACGAATGCACACGCTAGACTTTCATTTTGGCCACGCCAGTCCAGACGCCCTCCATGAAAAAACAGTCACTGTGCCCGCCTCGGGGAAAGAATCGGCTGCCACCCCGGCAATGAGAGCTCGCAATCCTTGGACAAAATCCACCATTTCCTTCGTGCACTGTCGGGCTGCAGGGAAATCTTGATCGCATGTTTTATGCGTGGTGAGGCGGTGATTACACAAGCAATAGCTGCAGTTTCAGCTCCTTCCAGGAGGGAAACGCCGCTTCAACCAAAGCACGCCATTGCACATTTTCGCGCTCGACCACCGAGTTTCCAGATGGCTAGCGCTACGCGCTGCTGCTTGGTCTGGAGCATGGCGGATGCAATGGCCATCTCGACTTCTCTCACTCAGAGCAGAAGATTCTCTCCATCCTTCCCCTCATAGGCCTTAACGCTCACCATGAGCGGCTTAGGACGGGGGAAGTAATCCGTTACTGACGGCGGCGTCATAGACGCGAATGATGCAGACATCTTCTGCTGCAGGTGCTCTAGCAGCGCGTTTTCGTAATTTGAAATTGCCTTTAGACGCGCACCGATTGCATCGGGGCCTTGCGCAGCAAGGTGCTGCACACCCTCAGGGCCCAGCAAAAACATCAGCTTGTAAAGCCCGTTCAGCATGCCCTGGGGCAAAGAGAAAAAATATTCCATCCTCACTGCGGATCAGTCTAAACGACTAAGGTCTTAGGTGTAGATTGACTACAAGTGCTACCAAGTGCAGCGAGGGTGCTGTAGCTTTGCGCTTTGAGGAAGGGTAAGTTAGGTCACCGAACTTTCGTTCTATACTTAAAATAAGTACGAGTTAGCAGATCGCAATTCGCTTACTACAAGAGTAACTATTGCCTTAATTCAAGGCTATTTACTCTTCCGTCTAAAATTCAAAACTAATTTTTATTTATTTTCATCTGCGGCAAAGCCGCCTAATTTAAGATGTTCGGATTTTTTTAAATATATAGTAAAATCTAAATACATGCATAACTACTAGCTACCTAGCCACATACCGTATTCTTGTTTGGGCGCAGTTACACCATGCCCATCTCGTGTGACACACACCTGTTATCAGGGTACGTGTAACCCCGTTACAGAAAGAGTTTTGGCAGCTTTGCTGCGGAATTCCGTTGCACTTTAAGGCAAGCAAAGCAAATCCGACGATCGGGTTGGTAATAGACTATATCTTAACGTGGATGTACGCTTGGTAAGCTTATGGTTAAACGCAAAGTCGTCCAGCAAACGCACTGTAAAGCCTTAGTTGACTGCTCTGTGGGTTTTGAAAAAAAAGTATTCTTCGAGATTTTATAAGAGAGATGATGTTATGGGGTTACACGTACCCTGGTATACAGGTGTGGATCACACAAGATGGTGTGACCGTACAAAGGTGTGAGTTACACAAGTCGGTGTAATCACACAAATGCGTGGCTACACCATAACAAGAAGCCACTACGTGGCGGGACTGCCAGTAGTTATGCTTATTAAATAGGTTTTACTATCAAATATAGGAAACACATAGATTTGAATGTAGGCGGCTCTTCCGCAAATAAAACAAGTAAATACAGTCTCAATCTCAAATGGAAGTGCATTTGCCTCGGTTGAGGTTTTAGGTAGTACGAGTATAACGGATTGCGATCCGCTATATGATTCTGCCATAGAACGAAGGTCGCTGCCCCCTTAGCTTAGTTCCTCGAAGCAAAGAGCTACGGCAGCCCCGTTGCGGCCGTAGATTGACTACGAGTGCTACCAAGTGCGGTATCACTTGGTAGCACTCATAGTCAATCTACGCCCGAGTCGTTACAACTGAGCCTCTGTGAGGATAGAGAAATTATCCTATTTGCTTCAAGGCATGGACGGGTGTGATAAGCTGATGTCCCTGCCTGGCCCTGAGGGCGTGCAACACCTTGCTTTGCAAGGATCTGAGGCGTTAAGTACGTGTTTAGAAGCGTTTTCGAACTATGAAAATGCCCTGTTACCTACAGCAGAAGCTGTCGGCGTCGATTGCGTCCAAGACGTCATCGTCGACGACAGATGACCCCTCCTGACTCAGGTCGCTCATGGTGAGTGTTGAGACATTCGAGGGTAAAAATGGAGAGAATCTCATGCTCAGGGTGGGAGAGGTCATGATGGTCATGGCGTCCGCCAAGCTCCGGATCGAGCAACAGCGCGTGGCGCTAGCCATCTGAAAGCTCGGTGGTCGAGCGCGAGAATGGGCACTGACGTGCAGCACTTCGGTCGAAGCTACGTTTCCCTCCTGGACGGAGCTAACATTGCAGC